GGGCTTCCTCCTGTCACCTCCTGTCCTAATGCTGTCCCCTGGGCTTCCTCCTCTCTCCTCCTGTCCTGAGGCTGTTTGCTGGGCTTCCTCCTGTCCTGATGCTGTCCCCTGGGCTTCCTCCTCTCTCCTCCTGTCTTGAGGCTGTTTGCTGGGCTTCCTCCTGTCTCCTCCTGTTCTGATGCTGTTTGCTGGGCTTCCTCCTGTCTCCTCCTGCCCTGATGCTGTCCCCTGGGCTTCCTCCTGTCACCTCCTGTCCTGATGCTGTCCCCTGGGCTTCCTCCTCTCTCCTCCTGTTCTGATGCTGTTTGCTGGGCTTCCTCCTGTCTCCTCCTGCCCTGATGCTGTCCCCTGAGCTTCCTCCTGTCTCCTCCTGTCCTGATGCTGTCCCCTGGGCTTCCTCCTCTCTCCTCCTGTCCTGATGCTGACCCCTGAGCTTCCTCCTTTCTCCTCCTGTCCTGATGCTGTCCCCTGGGCTTCCTCCTGTCTCCTCCTGTTCTGATGCTGTTTGCTGGGCTTCCTCCTGTCTCCTCCTGTCCTGATGCTGTCTCTCTGGCCTTCTTCTAGGCCTGATCTAACATTGTAGATCTCAGAAGAGTCCCCAGAGCCTCAGTGTCTGGGAACTTGCTGGTCTCCTCCTAGACATTCTGGTTCGTAGCACCTGGGTGATTGGCTCCTCTGCTTCACGGGCCCCTCAGTGATCTGGTGTATGGTGGGGTGATGTCGAGCTCTGTGGCCTCCAGCTCTTCTTGTATCCAGTATCCTTCTCCTCCACTCAGGTGCAGCCCTGATTCTGAGCTCTGACTCACAGCCTCACAGTGGGTGCCTCTTCTCTCTCTTGGGGGCCCTTCCTGTTGTCCCAGCTGCCCACGACAACAGCTTGCTGTGGCTGTGACGTGGCTGCTACCCACTCTTCCCCAGAAAGTGTTGCTGTCCTTCTAACTAACCATTGAGTCCTCTCCCTGGACGTGGAGGCTCTTTTCAACCTGCCCTTGAGCCAGTGTCCCCTGGACGGCAGCCTCCTCTTGTCTGACTTTTCTGCACATTCCCTCCTTCTGGCCCAGATGGCTTCCATCCTCCTCATGTGATGAAATCCTGCCCACTTTTCAAACCTCACTGGGAATTCTTAGACCTTTGAAGGTTACACTGAGTCTGACCAGGCTTGTCTTGGACCCTGTGACCGCCAGCTTTCTATTACTGTAACAAAATAACCTGAGATAACCAGCATAATAAGGGAAAATGCTGATTTTGACTGACAGTTTTGGAAGTTGCAGTTCATGCTTGGTTGACCCCCTGGGTCCTGGGCCTGTGTGGAGGCAGCTCCTCATGGTGGCAGTTTGTGGCAGAGGAAGCTGCTCACATCATGGTGGTCAAGCAGAGAGGAAAGGCCAGAGTCCCAACATCCCCCTCCAGTTAGGCCCAGTGTCCGTGCCCTAGGCCGTCCATTTAAAGGCTCCACCAGCTCTTCACAGGGCACAGGCTGGGACAGGCCTTCAGCACATGGGTGTCGGGGGACGTTCCAGACCTGAGCTGTCGCAGCGGCCCAGCGAGTCGCCCCTCCCGTCTGTGTGCTGTGCAGGGTGTTTGCCATCCTGACTGTGGAGAAGCAATGACTCCTTCCTTTTGTTAGACCAGGACGCAAGAAAAGACCACTGACTCCAATTAAAATCAAATTAAAGCAAGCTTATTATTTCGACCGGCCGGACTGCCTTTTCCTCCCAAAACGGTGGGAACAAGACAGCAGCCCCACCTTTCCTACAGCCCAGCTTTATAGCCCAGAAAGTTACACAAAAGGGGCGGTTACAGATAACAGAACTCTGACAAGCATCACACTAATGGTAGTTTACAATTTTTGCTGGCCCCAACATCAGAATTTATGAGGACCATTAGAGCCTCAGAGAGGGTCGTTGTCTGGCCAGGGAAGGCCAAGATTTGTGAGGCGTCACTAAAGTTTCAGAGAGGGCTGCTATCTGGTCAGAGAGCCAGGCATGGGTGAGTTCAAGGCACGGGCAGGCATTCCAAGCAGGTTCAGAGTTTGCAGTAATTTATAGTAAAGCCAAAATTAGCTTTTCATGGCTTTGTGGCAAGATGGCTCCCAATTTAATAAAAGATCAGGTTGGGTTTATCACTTTTGCCCTTAATGACTACCTCATTGCCTATGCATATGGACGAGTGGACTCTTTCTTAAACAGATGAACTAGTGAATGAGGACCAAACAAAAAGTAGGCTCAGAGGAGCCTTTTGGTGCTGATGAAAAGGCACATTATTTGCAGGAAATGCTGGTTTGTTTGCCAAGTATTGTTGTAACAATTAGGCCAGTTTGTATTAACTTTAGCTGTTATTAGTTAAAATTAATTGAATACCAAACGAGAGCTTAGCGTGTTGTTGAGAGCCTCTGAGCACTGGTGGATAATTAGAAGTCTGGAGGAGCAGCGTGCCTGTCTGGAGGAGCAGAGCTCGGGGCTCACCGTCCATGGCGGGGCTTGCTTGTGAGGGCTGGTTCTCGGTAGAGCCCAAGTTAGTTGTGTCACAGGGGAAAACACCACGCCCTGTGCGCTGGTCTACCATCTCTAGCCTGCTTCTTTCTGCATTTGCAGATTATTTACTTTGGATGGACATCTTCTGGACAACTCACAGGACTTGCAAGACAGTCAATTCTATGTTGCTGCAGGACTGGAGAATTTCAAAAGCTTTCCATACTGGAGGTCCCCAAACGTTCCCATCGAGGTCCAAGAGTGAGTCCATTTTAAGTCTTTGCTTCCTGAGCTTTGGTAAAATCTCCCCTCTCCCCACTGCTTCTTCTGAGTATGTCCACCTCAGCTGCTGGCTGTTTTTCCACAGTGAAATGTGCTGTTCTGGTGATACAGATTCTTCACGGGTCAGGTTGCCATCACCATTCTTCACAGTCTCCAGCAGGGGCTTAAGTATCTTTCCCTCAACAAAGAGGTTGAGGCCCAGGAGAAACAGGGGCTGCCCAGTGGCCGAGGGACAGGGCCATTCCACAGGACAAGCAGGTGCAGGAACTGCTCTGTGAGCCCTTGGGGAGGCGGTTCCTGTGTGCACAGCTACCACCCAGTACAAGAGGTTGAGTGCAGAGTGAGGCAGATGGGGTCGGCGGGCCCTGCTGCAGGCCGGCTTTGGACAGGGAGGGAGGCCTGCTCCTCTCAGCCTGGGCTCCTCCAAGAACAGGGAGGCTGTCGCTTCCCCGGGGAGTTGTGAGGGCTGCAAGAGGAGCTGCATTTGTGGGAGCGCCACATGCCAGGCTCCCTACCACAAACCCCAGACAGAAGCCCCTTTGGGTGCCAGCCTTGGCCAAAGCCACCTGATAAGAGCCATCTCTCTTTCAGGGACCCCAAGGCAGCAGGCAGAGCAGGACCAGGCCCGTTCTGCTCTCGTGCTGGGAAACCATGGATGCCTGAGCCCTTGTTCTGCATGCCCCGCTGCCCCCCCAGGACCAGGCTGCAGCCTATGGTTGGCGAGAATGGGTTGAGCATAGACATGACAAGCTGTCTTTTGTCTTTCAGAAAGTACTCAGACATGGAAAGACGCCTGCAGAAAAAGAAGGTAAGTGATCTTTAAGAGGAGAGGTGACCACTGTTGCTGATTTGGTATCTTCTGACACCGGCAAGGACAGGGCACATGCAGGCCCTGATCTGTAAACTGAGCCTTAGGTGCACAGTATTAGCACCAGACTCTGAAGAGGAGTCATACCCTCCTGTGATCGGGAAGGGGAAGTGAGGTCCAGACATGGAGCTGGTCAGACTGGAGCCACCTGCAGGTATTTGTGATAAGACATGCAGTCTCATGGGACAGGTAGGAGAGAAACTGAGGCACCCTCGGACCCTGGAGGGTGTGGGGAGGCCGTCATAGGCAGAGGTGACGCAGAGTGAGGCGCGGGGGGGGGGTGAGTGTCTACACACACAAGCTGCTGCAGCTGAAAGCATGAGAACTCGTGTCTGGGGAGGAAGGAGGCCTCATCGTCCTCACGACCTGGCTCGATTGTGTGTCCCTGGCCACTGTGTGGAAACTGTTTTGCAGTTCTGTGGCTGGTACTGTTTATTTGACAGAGCTGTTGGGTCTCTGTGTCCAGCGCACTGGCTCCCAGGCCTCCCTACTGTAACACTCTGGCCCAACTGTGTTGGGCTCTTCTTGGCCAGTACCCAGGGCATGGGGGGCCTTGGCTTCCTCTGTCCTGGGCAATTCAGATCTCACAGGCACCACTTTAGCTGCTTTCTTGCAAATGCCATTGACCTCCTCACTGTCTGACCAGCACTGTGACTACCACTGTGTCCATCCCACCGTGGATGAGCTAGAGCCCAGGAGAGCCCTGTAACAAATACCCTCCGGGAGTGTGTGAAGACTGTGCAGGTCCCCAGGTGGTCACCAGGAGAGCCCTGTAACACAGTGACCCTCCGTGGAGGTCCTCAGGTGGTCACCAGGACTGCCCTGTGACACACATACCCACTGTGCAGTCCCCAGGTGGTCACCAGGAGAGCCCTGAATACAGTGACCCTCCGTGGAGCATGAGGGCTGTGCAGGTCCTACGCCTGTGCGTTCTGAGGTCCTCAGGTGGTCATCAGGGGAGCCCTGTAATACAGTGGCCCTCGGTGGAGTGGGAGGGCTGTGCAGGTCTGCAGGTGGTCAGCTGTGGTGCTCTGTTGAATTGGGCATGGAATTTATTTCAAATTTGCAAATTGTCCTTAAAGAATGTAGCTAGAGTACAAAGCAGAGGCTCTTCCTTGACTTTTCTGTGGCCACTTCACAAGCATAACGCAGAGCTTTGGACTAGTGACCACAGACTTGAATGGAGGCACTGCGGGGTCCCACTGCAGGGCCCTGCGTGTTGCTGGGGACCTCGGGATGAGCCCAGCGTGAGTCCTGCTGTTGGAGCAGCAGATGTGGATGAGCCTGTGACCTGATGCTCCTCGCCCCACCTGACCTGGCATCAACTCCTCCACCTCTGCAGTTCCGACAGGTCAGCAGCGTCTCTTTACTAATGGTTTAACCTCCAGAGCTGCCATCAGCCACCCCATCACCACTGCCCAATACAGTCAGGAAAACCAAGATGCTGGGGTGGCTGGTGAGGGCGGGAGGCGGAGAGGCAGGCAGGGCCTGGGTCACAGGCTGTGTATACAGGTAATGCTCAATCCAATTTTGAATGAGGGAGTGAAAAGGAGGGTGCACTTGGTGATCGCTAGCACTGATGACAGAATAAAATGTGGACTGAAAACAGGAAAGCGGTCGGGAGGGACGGGGCCTGGGCAGCTGCTGCCTTCCCGGCGAGCTGCGGGTGGAGCCGAGCCGCCGACCTGAGACCCTGACTGTTGGCAGCTCAGCGTCTCTGAGACAAGGTTGGTCTATGCTGATGGCATCCTGGCAATCATGGCAAGTGTTGCCGCTGTCACTTGCCGTGGCTCAGCTGGTACAGCCGCTCCTTTTGCTGTGCTCTGATGGAGGGAGGGGCCAGGGTGGCTCTGCGCAGGTTGAGTTTCACGATGAACTCCCATTGTGTTCTGCTTTTCCTTTTAGTTCAGTGCAATCGGTGATAAGATCTGTGCTGCCTGGTTCTCCAGGGCTTTTCCATCGTAGAAAACAGAGCGCGCAGGTGATGACAGGCGCTGTGACATGGCTAAATGGCAGCGTTGTTTCTTTTTTAAGGTTCATAAGTAACCATGAGCTCTGTGACTCATAGCATCTTGATCCAAAGAAACGAGAAGGGAAATCCTGGGGGCCATGGGGAGACCTACGTGGCCATGGTGTGTGAGGAAGTGGACGGCAGCAAGACGAGTGCCTTTCCCTCATCTCATCTAGACGCACTTCTCGACAGCCTCTAGTATCTGATGGTTTCAACCCTGTGCTTGATTCAGATGTTCACGCCCTGGAGAGCAGCCTTTACGGCTGGGCAATGTCTGGGAAGCCCGGTCAGCATGAGCCTCCCAGTCCAGTGACAGGAGCTGACCGAAGCTTCCCCTGTTCTGTTCTGTCAGCTTCAGCTTCATAGCAGCTGCTTGATTTGTGATTTTAGATCTATTACCTTTCAAGGGGGTAAGGCTAATTCAAGAAATGTTCCAAAGGGCATCCATATATTAAAATGGGTATTTTATGGTGCAAGCCTCTGTACAGAAGTCAGTACATAGTTAATAAGCCTTTCATTTACATCACATCTACAATCAGAACATGACTGTTAAACACTTCTTTGGGCATAGAGTAGAATCCTGAAAATGAAATGGAGATGAATCATAAAAATTAAGGGGGTGTGACGAGGTCAGAAACACTGAGAAGAGACAGAGCCCACTCTGAAGCCCAGCCTAACCACGAGGGTCACCGTGCAATAGGTGCTTGGGCTTGGTGCTGCCGGCTAACAGCAGAAGGGATCTCTCCAGGTCCAGGGAGCAGCAAGCAGCCGAGGGGCAGCGGTCTTCTGCTTCACAGGTGGCTAAGCAGGGATTGGATGGTGGATGGAAGACCTTGACCCAGCTGGGAGGGATCCTGCTGGACCCTCCTGCTGGCCACCTGCTTCCTCTCTTACTGGAGTGGACTGACTGAGGAGGCTGTCCCTGTTCCCCTCCCTCCTGGTGGCTGAGTGAGGGGGTCGTCCCTGTCCTTCTTCCACCTGGTGGACTGACCCTGAAAGAGGTTGTCACTGTTCCTCTCCCACCTTGGTGACTGACCCTGTGGAGGTCATTACTGTTCTTCAATTTGACAAAATGTGTGATTCATCCCTCTTCTCCTAGGGTGGCTCCCAGGTGGCCAGTGTGAGATAATCTGTTACAGTGGCATTAAATCTTAGCTAGATTGGTCGAAACAGGCTCCTGAGAAGAATAATTGTCTTTAAAACTCTAAAGAGAAATAAATCTACCACTTTTCAGGCTTATTTTCTGAAAGTGTTCGTAATGGGGAGAAAGATGAATGACATTGCAGTGTGCCTATCCCCTCGGTCAATAGAGCTCACACTGATTTCAGAGGTGCACCAGGGCAGAGGGCCCTGCAGCAGAAGGAGTGGGTTCCGAGCGCTCTTGGGGAGCACGCCTGTCTCCGTGGACGGAAGGCCGCCCCAGGCAGGGTTGCAAGGCGGGGTCTCTGGTATCAGGCTGGTGGACGCCTTCCTCCGTCCCTGTCTGTGAGGGGAGAAGGTCTTGGTGGTTGATGGTACACAGCAGTCTAGTTGTGCAAGGTGGTGGTTTTAGTTTGACACTTATTAAGTGACAGTGTGAAAGAAATATCTATTTATATACTTTTGCCTGAGTGAAGATTAAAAAAGGAAAATCTTAAAATAAAGACAACTTGTAGAGTAAAGACGCTATGGGAGGTGCCTAGGAGTCAATTTCATCTCTCCTCTGATGTAGTTCTCCTTTGTTATTCTCAACAGATTTTTTTAAGGTAATATCTTTATTTATTCATTTATTTTTATGTGGTGCTGAGAATTGAACCCAGTGCCTCACCTGTGCGAGGCAAGCACTCTGCCACCGAGCCACGGCCCCAGTCCCTCTAAACAGATTTTTTAAAAAAACCTGAGCTCCTCTTTATTGCTGCCGGAAAGAGAGCCACGCTGGGTGTTTCTAGGCCCACGGAGCACGTGGTCAGCAGGAGCAGAGGCGGGGTGGTGCCCGAGTCATGGTTTTTACCAGGTTTCACAGTGTCCTTCACCACGTCATCCCCCTCCCCCTCCCCCCATTGGACAGGGGTTGGCAAGTCCACCTGACGTGGAGAGGTCATTGACCTGTCCCCCAGAGACACTGCAGGGAGGGGGAAAGTGAACGGTTTCCATTCTTTGTGGACTGGACAGGAAGGAGGAGAGTGGAAGGTGTGAGGAGGGGCTTTAAGTCCTGGCCTCCTGCTGGGGCCTCCCTGCAGGGACCTGATGGCGCTTCTGCTCCTGAAGCAGCTTTGTTTTTAATTTGCACTTTAGGTGACTTCTAAAGAAAAAGAGCCTCCTAGAGATGAGAGCGTACCACCTAGAACTCAGGATTCTGTTTACTACGCCAAACAAGGAAAGAAGAAACCGCCGGCAGACCCTCTGGTCCAAATGGGCACAGGTAACGGGCACCTCACTGCTGCAGCCTGGCTGGGGGCTGCCGGCCTGGCAGAGTGTGTGCATGTGTGTGCTTGGGACGGATTGGATGTGGCAGAATCTCTCTTGGTGTGTAACCCTCTGATTAGACTAAATGTTTGCTGGAAGGACCCTGTTGGAGCAGAGCCACAGTCCCCAGGCTGCAGAGGGAGGACAAGTGTAGGTTAAAGTCAGCCGTGTCAGGCGTCTGTCTGTCCTCCCCGAGAGAACCAGTGACAGAAAGGAGAGAGAAACAGGACACAAAAGCCACCTTTTGTGCACACACACCTTCTGAGGATGGACGCAGGGTAGAGGATGACCCAGACTTGGTTCCAACTGGTTCTAGCCACACCCTTGCTTTGCCAGCTCTCCTACCCTCCCTGAGCCCTTGCTGGGCTCCTGTGGGTGATGGGCAGGTCCTGCCCACACGGAGGGGACTGGGTAGGGAGAAGGCCCTGTGGCTGGTTGTGGAGGAGACGGGCAGCAGGGGCATCTGCAGCGTCTGGACCGTCTTTCTGAAAGCCTTCTCCTGGGGCTCTGTCTCGGTCCAGCACAGCCAGGGGTCTTCTGCCCTGATTATTTCCCAGCTTCCTCTGTGTGGGCAGCTTCATTTCCCTAGGTTCCCTCACTCCCTTTTCCTTGCTGGCCTTCCTGTCCCACAGTGAAGGCCCACAATGTGGCTGGTTGGGCACCTGTGTCGGTGAGATCTGTCTGTCCCCATGGAGAGTGCCAGGGAGGCAGAGGGACCTGCTCCAACAAGACCCGAGAGCCTGGCTTGGCCTCGGATCCAGGGCCCTGGACCTGCTCCCCTGACATCTCCTCACACATCGAGGACAATGAGGACCTGGTCACTGCATGTGAAGTCTGTTTTTTGCAACACGGATCCCATACAGGGGAAGCCCCATGGCAGGATTGGCCTTTGGAGCTCAGATTCGAGCTGCGGCCCTTACTGCAGGTGTAACTGGGTAAACTGGTCACCCAGGGTGGGCGTGTCCACTGCAGGGTTGCTGCAAGTGTTAATTACTAGGTGGAAGAGGACCCGGAACCCTGATTGTGGGGTGGGTGTTACTTCCCTGCCTTGTTCCCACACCCCTCCCATGGGAGAGGGCCCTCCAGCTCAGGCCCTGGGGCAGTTCCTCTGGGCCAAGGCTGGGAAGGGAGGAGAAGGATAAGAGCAGGCCAGGTGAGGGGGGCCTGGCCAGGGCTTTGACTGAAGGGAGGGAGCTTCTCTTCTGGATAACTGCACCCACCGGTGGCCGTGCTCACTTTGCGGGTGCTGAAGGCCAGGCCAGGACATTCCACTTCTGTTCTCATCTGTTGCCTCTGATCAGGGTGAGGGTACATTTTTCAAGAACCTTGGAATTTTAAAAGTGTTTAAGACATCTAATTATAGTGATAATCAGAGCGACTTCTAGCAGTCTGTTAAAGGTGAGTAGCGCCTAGCCGTTCAAACCCAGATCATGAATACGTTTTGAACTAACAGGGCTGTATTTCCTGGAAGTATTTCTATGATTTCTTATTTATTTATTTCTATCGGAATCAACTGAACACAGGCTTGGCATATGTTCGCCTTAGCTGACCGTGAGCTGGACGGTCTGCCGTGGTGGGTGTGCAGTGTGCCGAGCCTTCTCAGGCCCAGGACCTTTGGGAGTAGAGACAGACAGACTCTGCAGAAATGGGGCCCCTGAGCTGGGCGGCTGGGCTCCTGCCAGCTGGAAGCCCCGGTGTGCGCTTCGTAGCGGGTCTGGTTAGGAGATGTCCCGTGGCCTCGGTTTCTGCCGGGTTCAGAAAGCCCATCTGTGTCGTCTTCCCTCACAAGGTGATGTGTATAGAGCCCAGAAGCCCACCAGGGACACCCAAGGGGCTCCGGACGTCAAGGAGGACCGGGACGTGCAGGTGGAGGTGCCGGTGGACCAGGTGGGTGGCGGGCCCAGGACGACTCTGTTGTCCACCCCTGGACTGTGCTCCCTGCCTCAGCCTCATCCCTGCCCCCCTTTCCCTCAAGTTCTCTTGCTCTAGAATGTTCCATGGTTCCCCCAGTTAGCCACTGCCCAGCCTCAGATCCAGTTTCAGGCATTTTTCTGTCTGTCCCTCCCCAGCACCTGTGTAACTGTGTATCTAAGTTGTCACTATTTTGTTATTATCTCTGCCCTGCTAAGCTGTGGACTCCTCCAGGGAGGGGACTGGTCTGCTTTGCTGTAGCCCTTGTACCTAGCAGGGTCCTGGCCCTTGCAGCGATTTGTGGGACGACTGAACGAGGGAATAAAGAGCAGAAGCAGACTGTGAGCGTGAGCCCTGGGCTCGTCCAGCCTGGGAGGACTCACTTAGGTGGCCCAGGAGGTAGTGCACAGGCAGGGGCCTGTGGGGACGGGAGGGTGGCACAGCAAGGGGTGAGGGACGCTGTGTCGGGGAGGAGGAGGCCAGGGCACCGGTGAGGGCTGGGATCCAGCCCAGCTCACCCTGCGTGCCTGGGCCAGTCTCCCTAGCCCTCAGGCTCCGTCCCTGCTCCTGTGAAGGAGATGGTGCAGATGGGCCCCCAAGCCCAGGACTTGGTTTTCACTGTCCACCTGAAGGCACTGAAAGTGCATTTCCAAATGTCAGCTTTGGAGAAAAGAATTTTGTTCATCAAAGATCAGTATTAGCATTTGAGTCCACTTTTCCCTCTTAAAGAGCCCAGGGCCACCCCTGCCCTCAGGGCCACACAGCGTGGAGTCCAGCAGCCGGGGTGCTCTCTTCCTCTTCCTGTGCCTGGCACTCTGACCGCTGCCCTCATTCTACCTCCTGGGAGGCCATCTGCTGCAGCCCGGGCACCAGTTCTGTGCTGTCCACTTCGTGGGCATTTGGAGTGTGTCCCTCGAGTCCCTGCTGTTGCCTCACTCACCAGTGATGTGATTCACTCTTTCCCTCAGCATCGCAGAAAATGACCCAAAGATGTGGTTTTCTTCTAAAACCCAAACAGTTTAAGAGTGTTTTGGACCCTCGAGCCTTCTCTGGTAATGTGGGACGAGGACGTCTTAGGCGGCTGCTTTTTGCCAAGTTGCCCTCACTGCTGCCGCATGACTGTGCCCTCTGGGTGCCAGGTCTCCGGGCACGGCTGTGCTAGCCCTGTCAGTGGGCGTGTTCATGGTTGGGCTTTGGTGATCTTGGCGTCCTTTGAATTTGAGTGGGGGCAGTGGATTCGCTTACCCAGAGTAATGAGTGAGAGGAAGAAGCAGGTCCCTGGTGGGCGGGGGTGCCCCTGGGGGCCGCTTGGAGCAGGAGCGTCCTGTGGGCTCTGGGGGCCGGGCGCCAGGCCGTCAGGCTGCAGTGCAGCAGGGGCTTCCAGAAAGAGCTTTCTGCCCAGGGCGTCTCCCAAGCCAGGTCTTGGCTCCATGAACTGAGACTTCCTAGTGGTCAGCCACAGTATAACACAGGTTCCAGGCCTCAGGGACGTGGAACACTTCCCACCAGGCCTGTGCCCAGCCTGAGGCCCCTGAGGTGAGGTGCTCGGCAGCCGTCTGTGTCTTTCCACGCTCGTGGCCAGCCTAGAGGAGGGGCGTGGGAGGAGCAGTGACAGCGGCTGCCCGATGCACAGAGAGGGCCGTGTGTTGGAGGAACCTTCCTCAGAGCACACGGGCCTTCTTACTCCCTGTCTCCCTGCTCCAAGACCTGGTGCCCAGATGTCCATGAAGTCCGACAGAAGTGGACGCCAGAAGCCCTGGGTGATGAGACCAGTAGAAAGCTGTAGTCAGGTGGAGGGATGCTCAGGCCACCTGGCCCCACCCATGTGCCAGCTGCCTAAGTTTTGGACAAGCTGCTGCTTATACGTCCACGTACTCCTGGGAGGTGCCTTTCGAATCCTCCTGGAGAGCTGCAGTGCACAATGGCCTCTTGGTGTTTCAGAGAGGTCTCCTGGGAGGAGGAGAGTGGGCTGCTTCCTCTAGCCCTCCATGCTGTGCCCCAGGGACAGATGTGGAAGAGAGCGCAGTGCTTGCTCCTGCTCCTCTGGCTCCTGTGTTCCTTTTCCTCCGCTAATGCCTGCAACCAGGAGTTCAGAGGACAGCGCTGCGGGAGGCTCAGGGGCCCTTCGTGTCAGCGGCTGGCCTGTCCTTTGCCCCACCAGCCTTCCCCGCTGCACCTGTCCTGCTGTGGCTCTAGTTCCATGTGAGACTGTTCCCTAGACTTGCCATCCTCGTGACACTGGCTTCTCGAGGACCTTGCTTATTTGCACTCAGGGCCGCTGCGTCCTGACCTCGTGGGATTCAGTGTGGCAGGATCCTCGAGGTGCTGTTCAGTGAGGGAATGAGTCTGTGGTTGGCACCACAGCAACTGTTCTTTGGATAATGCTTAATGCGCTCTGGGCTGATGGGGTTGGTGGCACTGGACGCAGACCCAGGGTTTGTGGCTGCAGAGCTCTGTCTGGCTCACACTGGTGACCGGCAGCAGCGGCGTCCCCTAGGGCTCCTCCAGGCAGCCCCCCTCTGGTTTTGTGGTGTGGGCTTCACCCATTTCAACTCGGGTGTGGCTGTCTGACTTGCTTTCCCTGAGGACCGGCGAGTGACACCAGGCAGCCACCTGAAAGCCAGCTTGTGATTTGTCACACTGCCCCTGCTCTGCCTCTGGGCTCTGGGGCCGGAGCTGGACCTCCCTTGGCATCTCCCAGGCAATGAGTGAACAGGCCGTTCCCACCTTTTGTGTACCTTGTTGAAACCCGCTGTGGACCTCTGTCCTGTCCACTGTGGGCCTCTGTCCTGCCCTCTGTGGACCTCTGTCCTGTTCACTGTGGGCCTCTGTCCTGCCCTCTGTGGACCTCTGTCCTGTTCACTGTG